GCATGTAGAGCGCATGTAGAGCGCGATTTAGTTAGTGATTTCACTGTGAATTCGCGGTCTACATCGCTCTACAACGCAGGCAGTCCGTCCCGCGCCGGACGTAGAGCTCTACAGCTCTACAGCGCTCTACAGCTCTACAGCTCTACAGCGCTCTACATTCTACATCCTCTGCACCCTCCCTCAGTCAGGCCCCCACACCCCAGGATAATACTTTTTCTCCCAATACTGCAACAACACTCTCTCCCAATAATACTGCCGTTATTAGGCTCAAACCGCCTCTGAGAACATATATGTAAGTCTGGTGCACTGACTGGCCATACTCGCATACCGGCCTCCGGCGTCTACCGAACAAGTCGTGAGTACCGGGGTGTGAAGGGCAGGCGAGTCATGGCGCGCGCGCTGTGCAGCAACGCAGCAGCCGCAGAGCAGTGATCAGATACGGCACATGGCGGAGGCCGAGTCGGACGACTCTCGCCACCGTGCCAAGGTGTACTGCCTCAACAGCAACGGCCAGTGGGACGATCGGGGGACCGGCCACGCGGCAGTGCAATACTCGCCGGTACGCACACTCTCACCTAGGGGGGATCCAGGGCGCGGGGTCGCTGCCGCGAGTCGGCTCCTGGCTGTGCTCGTCGGTCGCGCGCGAGTCGGCTCCTGGCTGTGCTCGTCGGCCGCGGCGGCCGGCGCAGCGATCCTGGCTCACGCTCGCCGCTCTCGCGCGCAGGAGGACGAGGCGGCCTTTGTCGTCGTCGTCAGCGAGGATGACGGCAGCCAGGTGCTGCTGCAGGCGCGGGTGCACATGGAGGACATCTACCAGCGGCAGCAAGGCGCGGCCCTCTCGTGCCGGCGCCGGCGCACCCTCCCCCTATGCACCGACCGCGTGCCCTCTGCCTGCGCCGCAGAGACGATTGTCTCCTGGAACGAGCCAGAGACGGGCGTGGACTACGCGCTGAGCTTTCAAGACGTGCGCGCGTCACCGGATGCCTCCTCGCGCACAGCCACGCTCAGCGCCTGGCCCATAGACTCGCTCGCTCTCGGCGCCGGCCCGTTGATCACGTGCGGTGCCCGTAAATCAGGCGGAGGGTTGCACGGACCTCTGGGAGCAAATCTGCTCGCTGCAGGGCCGTGAGCCGGACGGCGCGGGCGGCACGAGCGACGCCGAAGGGGCGAGCAGCACGGCGGGCAGCGCCGGCGCCGACACAGCGCTGCAGCTGCCGGCTGCCGAGCTGCGCAATGTCGCAGCAATCGCCGACCTTCTAAGCGAGGTGGCGCGCGCCCCGCCGCTGCCTCGCTCTGCGCGCGCGGGTGGCCGAGAGCTCAGCACTCACCGACGAGGACTCACCGACGGGGGGAGGGTGGGCGGCAGAAGCGGCGTGGGGGGGGGGGCGAGGGGCCCCCGTCGCCCCGCGCTGTGCCCAGCTCGCGTGCGTTCGCGAGCTCGCGCTCGCGCAGGCCCTCTCCGGATCGCCTTTGCCCACCGCCACCGCCACTTGGCTCCCTCCGCCAGGTGCCGCCGTTCCGGCGAGCGCGCCTCGTTGAGTTGCTGCTGCAGTCGGACTACGTGCCGCAGCTGGTGCGCGTCTTCGGTGCCGCCGCCGCCGCCGCCCGCTCTCGGAGACAGCGGCGCGCGGCGCCTCATCCCGACCGCCGCGTCGCAGGCGTGGCCGAGGACCTCGAGTGCACCGACGATCTGCATCACCTCTGTGCGCGCCGCCGCGCCCGCCGCCGCGCCCGCCCCGCTCCACGCCCCGCTCCACGCCGCTTGCGCACCGCCCGGGGGGTGAGGAGACATTGTTTCCCTGTTGGCATGACCCACTGGCTCTGCCACCCGTGATTCATCCAAACTAACCCAGCTCTCTGACCCTGCGCCGCTGGGCGCGGCTCGCGTGTTGCCGCCGCCGCGGCGACCCTGCCCTCTTGCTCCGCGTGTGCACCGCCCCTCCCGCCGCCCACCTCCCGCCCACTCGCTCCGCCCTCCGCAGCCGCCGTCACCCCCCCCCCCCCCCCTCTCGCTTCCGCAGACGGCGTCTTCAAGGGCCTCGTCCTGCTCAACGACGCTAGCCTCTACGAGCAGCTCCTGCGAGAGGACCTCGTGATGAGCGTCTTCGGCGCACTCGAGTACGACCCCGACCTGCACGTCGCCCGCGCCGAGCACCGCGCCTTCTTCCGCAGCCAGCAGCGCTTCAAGCAGGTCGTGCCAATCACGGACGAGGACGTGCTCAAGCGCATCCACCAGAACTACCACCTCAGCTTCCTCAAGGATGTCGTCCTGCCGCGCTCGCTCGACGACAACGCCTTTGCCGCCCTCAATCAGATCGCCTTCAGCAACAACATGCAGATCGTCTCGTCGCTCGCAAACGACGAGACCTTCCTGCAGTCGCTCCGCGACAAGCTCGCCGACCCCAGCCTCTCCTCCGAGGCGCTGCACGACGCGCTGCGGCTCCTGCAGGAGCTGACGACCATCGCCAAGCAGCTGCAGCTGTACAACCGCTCGACCTTCTACCGGAAGTTTGTCGAGCACGCGTGCTTCGCGCCGCTCGCCGCGGCGCTGCGGCGGCCCGAGCCCGAGATACGGCTCTGTGCGCTCGAGGCGCGTGCCCTCCCTCCCTGCCGGCCTCCGACCCTGCAGCGCCGCCCTCGCCACCCACCCCTTCGCCCACCCCACCCCGAACGACCACCCCGAACGACCACCCCGCGCCCGCCCGCCGCAAGGTGCTGCTCGCCTCGACGCAGCACGAGCCGGCGCTGCTGCGCACTTGCATCCTCTCGCAGCGGCCCGGCTACGAGCTCTGCCACGCGCTGATTGGCGTGCTCGTCTCGCCGGGCGGCACTGGCGAGAAGCCGCAGGCCTCGGAGGTGCTGCGCGCGCTGCTCGACCCAGACGCGATGGAGGGGCGCGAACGCGACGAGTTCCTCAACCTGTTCTACGACGAGTTCGTGGACAAGATTGCGCAGCCCGTCGCCGGCAAGGTGTCCGCCGGCACGGGGCCGCTCAACGGGCCGACGAATGGGACGTCGGGTGCGCGCGGCGGCGAGGGAGGGGCGGGGAGCGCGGAGGGGGACGACCCGGCGGAGGAGGCGGCGGGCGACGTGCTCTCGGCGCGGCAGCACGTGTGCGAGCTGCTGTGCTTCTTTGTGACGCGGCACACGTACCGAATCAAGTACTTCATCCTGCGCAACAACGTGCTCTGCCGCGTGCTGCGGCTGGCAAAGGTACGCGACAAGGGGCTCGTGCTGGCGGCGATCCGGTTCTTCCGCACGTGCATCGGGCTGAAGGACGAGTTCTACAACCGGTACATCGTCAAGAACCGCTGCTTCGAGCCGGTGGTCGCGCAGCTGCTCGCCAACCTCGGCCGTGACAACCTGGTCCACTCGGCCATCCTCGAGCTGCTTGAGTTTGTGCGGCGCGAGAATGTGCGCTCGCTCGTAGCCCACCTGGCCGACGCGTACGGCGAGCGGTTCCGGACGCTCAAGCACGTTGAGGTCTTTGAGGGGCTGCTGCGGCGCGACGCGCAAAACAACGACCCCGGCGCGATCGGCCCCGCCAAAGGGCCGGCGGCGGGCGGGCCGGGCGCGTCGAGCTGCGCGGTGGGCGCGCCGCCGGGCGGGCGGCGCGTCTTCGGGGGAGACGAGGAGGACGCGTACTTCAACGAGAGCGACGACGAGGAGGAGGCCGAGCCGTCCGCCGACGCGGTCGACGACCGCCAGTTCGTCCCGCGGCCGGTCCACGCCGCCGCCGATGACCGAATGGAGCGCGGCGCGTTTTCGCACGAGGCGCCGCCGCCGCGGCTCGTCCCGGGCGGCAGCCTGGCGCCGCGGCTGCCGGCGGTGCTCGAGATTGCGAGGAGAGGCGGCGCTTCGTCGCCGCCGCTCGTGCCGCCCGTCGGCTCGCCGCCGAACCGCTCGCCGCCGCAGCTGTCATCTGCGCCCCCGCTGGGGTCGCCGCCCGCGGCCAGCCCGGCCGTCGGCCCGCCGCTGCCGCCAGCCGTGCCGCCGCACGAGCGGCCGTGCGCCGCGGCCGGCACGGCGTCGCTCGTCCCCGCCTACGCCGACGAGGACGGCGCCGACGCGGAGCGGCCGGCCGACGCCGAGGTTCTGGCGAGGAAACGGCAGCGGCTCGACCCCTCGCCGGCGGAGGGGGAGCAGCAGCAGCAGCAGCAGCAGCAGCAGCAGCAGCAGCAGCAGCAGCAGTAGCGGCAGCAGTAGCAGCAGGGCGGGGCCGTCTGCCGAGGACGTTTTGTGCGAGGTCATGCCCGCACCAGTCACCGGCGGGGTTTGCCGAGCGGTGTTGCGGCGTGCCGCGCCGGTCGCTCCAGCGCGGCCTCCACTGCACGGGGGACGGGGGCCTGTCTACGAGTCACCCCCGGTCATCAAGCCTTGAGTGAACCTCTCGCGTTTCCCTCGGAGTGGGCGGTGGGTATTTTCTGCACACTCTGCAAACATCGGGCCCCTGGGGTAGGGGCCCCACAGCGCCCCAAAACCCACCAGTGTGTGCTGTGTGGAGTGTGGGATTTCGCGCAATCGCTTGACGACTTGACTCTGAAAAGCTCGCATATTCTTCGAGGTTCACCTCGGAAGCCCTGATAAATGAAAAACGCGTGCCGTGCCGCGCCGAGACCGCAACTCGAGCGAGCCCAAACAGGGCCGTGCCGCTCCTCTCCACCGTGATGCTCCTCGCCATCATCGTCACCACGACGTGTCAGCTGCGGACGCAGCGGGCGTCGCCCGCGACATGCGCACGTAGCCCGACAACACTCAAACGCTCTGCAAGCCGCGGGCGGCTCCAACTGTCAATGTCGTCTCGCATTACCGGTACGCGGGCCTGGCTGCTCTCTCTCTCCCCCCACTCCCCATCGAGACTGAGCCCCCGGTGAGCACGGGCTGCGGCGCGACCCTTGCCGTCCCCGCACGCAGGTCACCATGGCTGCATCAGAGCTGCTTTGTCGTGCGCACTCGAGCAGCGCTGCGACGCTTTCTTAATGCCCGCAACCCACTGTAAAGGGCACCTATACCACCCAAGACAGCTTGGAGAGCTCCCGGTAACGCAACATTTCGTAACGATGGTCGCTAAACGACAGCTATTGGCCATCTGCCTCCTGCAGCCTCTGTTGGGGCGGAATGCGCGGGGTTTTCGGCGCGATGCCTCCGGCTAGTACACGGTACTGCTCTGCCGCAAACTCTCCTGCGCTCGCGTGACGTGTGGGGCGCGTGCACTGCGCTCGAAAGTCGCGATTTGGCAATAGGCGCTCGAGCCGGCGCGCAGTGGAGGGGGCGCCGCGCAGGGGGATCGGGGGGGGCGAGAGGGGGCGTGGGTCGGGCGCGCACCGGCCGGCTCCGAGAGCGGCCGTCACGTCGAAGAGGGGGGCTGGTGCTGCTCGAATGACGAGGCGTGCCGCTCTGCTGCGCCGCCGATAGCCCCTCTTCCGAGCCGGCGCGTGGCGGCGAGCCGCGGCCAGTATCGCTGGTGCGGTGGAGGCGGCAGCTTGCATCGGCCGGCAGCGGGTGCGGCCATCACGTCGATGAGGGGGGGTTGTCGGCGATTCGTGTGGCTCGAGGCCTACGCTGCGCCGCCCAAGCCCTACTGCCGATCCAGCGCCTGTCGTTTGGGGCGAGCCGCGGACGTCGTCGCTGATGGTATATGGCGGCGGCGGCGGCGGCTCGCCCTTCCCTCCGGCCGCAATTCCGATCCCGCCGCGCTCGCGGGAGGTGGCGCGCCCACCGCGGCACGGCCGTGGCTGCGCATACACCTTACGCCCTTTCTCCTCAACGGCTATCCGTGCTTGCTGTGCCCCTGCGTGGTGTGTTTCAAGTTCTTACAACCCAAGGTGATAGAGGGCAAAAAGATCGATTGCGCTCTTGCCGATCCGCACCTACCTAGGCTCTTGGGTGGCACTTGGAGCACTTGGAGTGCAGTCGGTAACCTCACATCCAGGGCCGGTGAGCTGAGAAGCGCATCCAGCGAGTGGCGCGCCCCAGCTCTTCACAACGGACCTGGTTTCTGGGATCTCGGCTTCAACAACCGAGCTCGATGCTGGACCCACCGCAGTCCCGCCAACTCCCGTCGACGGTCCAACTGTTCGTGCTCGGCGTGATCGCCTTCCTCGCGCTCGGCGCAACATCGCCCTCCTCGCTCCTCGTCGACGAGAGGAGCAGCGTTCGCCACCCAGTGGTGGTCGTGGGCCCACTCATAGGACAGACGCTGCAAGTCAACGATGCGCGATGGCTCAACCCGTGCAGTCCGTGGACGCCAACGTGGACGACGGCGTGGGTGAACTTGGACAAGCTGGCCGCAGTTTGTGCGTTTCACAGTTCCCACGCGCAGCTGGGACTCACCTTTGACCCGACGACGAACCGCACCAAGTCTCCGGAGCATGTCCAGGTGAGGGTTGCCGAGGGTTGGGATGGCTTGACGGTTTACGGGTTTGAGTTGTACGGCAACCTAACCCAACGGCTGGAATCCGAAGGGTTTGTCAGAGACGTCGATATCCTCCCGATGGGCTACGACTGGCGGCTATCCGTAGCCGACTGGGAGCAAGAAGCCTTCCCTCGCTTCTTCAGGACAATCTCAGACGCGGTGTCGAAGAATGGTCAGCCGGTTGTGCTGACTGGCGTTTCGATGGCGGCTCCGTTCACGCACGCGTTCCTGAGATGGGCAAACGCAAAGCGCGGGGGCAAGAGTTGGGTGCAAAAGAACGTGCACGCCTTCGTGCCGGTCGCAGGCCCCTTCAATGGCGCAGTTAATGCCCTTTCCGCACTGATGGGCGGCGTCGCCTTTGCCTACACGCCGCCGGGCCAGGCAGGCGCTACCAAGTTCACGTGCCCCTTGTGCGACCCACCTATGGCCGAGCAGGTGAGCGAGGAACACTTTGTGATAAAAGTCGTGGACGGGTTTGGGGCTGTACTGAAGGAGCTGCTCATGGATTGGCTCCTCACGGACATCACGCGGCTCCTCCGCGAGTTTCCATCCTTGTACTGGATGTCGCCGGGCGTGGACGACTCCATACCCAACAGAAGCTACGTCACGCTCCAACATGGGCCATGGGCGCAGCCAGAAGAGATCAAGGCTTCCGGCCTGCCATCTCTGTTCAGGAGGCTGCTCATGGACGACGAGGCGGAGCGGATGAAATATGCCTTGTCCGTCGGGTCGACCGAAGATCCTGGTGTCCCGACGCACTGCATTTACAGCCATAACGTGCGCACGTTTTCCCACCTCACTTTCCCCGCAGGGGGGGTCTTCGCAGACATCGGAGCTTCGGTCGAAATCGGAGATGGCGACGGGACGGTCCATTCTGACAGTCTGTCCGTCTGCGAGCGTTGGAAGAGCACTGTCAAGGTCTACAAACTGCCAGGTGTGCATCACGGATCTGAGGTGATCATCGGGCAAGTCCATGATGTCATTGTGGGTGTAGCCAAGGGTGATGACGCAGCGCTCGACGCGTGGACGTCACCAGCTTTTGTGGACTTGGATGTGCCGCGAGACGGAATGACCAATGCGACTATCCTGGATGAGTGGCAGGCCAATCTGGTCGTGGCGCTCAAAGAGGACGCCTAGCAGTCCCACCCCAGATAACCCAAGACCAATCCGCCGCCCCGCCGGATCCGCCGCCGTCGGTGTCGGCGCTCCTCCGAGATCTCGCCTTCGTCGCCGTGACATCCGCATGCTGCTGACACCGCCGCCCGTACTCTCTTCTCTCTCCTACCCTTTGGCCAGGCGGGGGCGTGCATTCGCTCTCCACTAGTTGGCCGTGGCGGTGGCCGCGCGTACTCTCGCGTTCTCGGCTCCCACGCTCTGCCATGTGCGCGTCGTGGACTCTCGGCCTGTCTGGTCTGGTCTCTCTCCTGGGCACTGGGCTCTGCTTCTGGTCTGCAGATCTGCCGCGGTCTGCGCGCGCACATGCATGTCACAGAGCGCGCGTGCCTGTGCCTTTTTTGGTGTTATCTAGCACAGCGCGTTACGAGAAATATGCTACCATGTGTTGGTGGTGATGCCTGAATGGTGTGTGTACTTTTTATTTGAAAACGACAGAGGAGCCCCGCACCGGCCGCATTATCAGTGCAAGGCCCAGTGCGCGTGGGTGACATCGAAGGCCATGCCGACGGCGGATTTGCTGTCGCAGTTGATGATGCTGGCGCCGTCGATGGAAAATCCAAGGTCGATCAGTAGCTCACGGATGAAAATCACCTCCTTGGCGGCTAGCATGGCGCCGAAGAATTCTGCCTCGGCGCTAGATAGTGTGACGGAACGCTGCATTTTGGAGAACCAGTGGAATAGGCATCCGTAGAAGAAGAACATGCCACCGGAGCAAGAGAATCTCGTCGCCCAGTTCGAATCGACGTAGCTTTCAAGGTTGCGGTCGGGGTTCGGCTGCATGACGAGGGCGCGGTCAGCTGTGTCGCGCACGTAGATTAGCACCCGAATGGCGGCTTTAAAATGCGACGGGCCTGGGTTGGTCATAAAGCGAGCGAGCTGAGATGCGGAATAAGCGATGTCGACGCGCGTCATGTTGGCAAGCCACAGTAGTCCGCCGACGATGGCACCCTCCACATGTTGAGTGCGTTGATGACCGTTGAGCGTTGTGGCTTGCCCGTTGTTGCTTGGTCGGTTGGTGGGGCGCCGCACACGGACCCGGCCTGCGCCTGGCGCCTGCGGCCTGGCGCCGGCCTCCCCGGGAACCCCGCCGAAAGTGCGCGTTTGCCCGGACAAGAGACGAGCGGCTTCTTCGGGCCAGACTATGTTCACAACGGTGGGAGGCCAACCTCCTGTCTGCTCATAGCCGCAGCCACTCCCAGCTGCTCGGTGTGAACAGAGTTCGTACACCGAGCAGCAGGGAGCAAGACCGAGGCCCTCGCGCCTCGGTGTTCACAGCGGAGTGGCTGGGGCTTACCAGACAGGCCAACCTCTAGCCATGCGAACCAAAAAGACAAAAAATATACATCCAAAGGCGGGTGCTGTCGACTAAGGGACAATCTTGTCTTTCCACTTTCGGCCCGCAGCCGAACTTGTCATGGGACACCACGCTCGGAATCCAACAGCGTACTCCTTGGGTAATAATTAATTTTTTTTGAGCTAGCCTTCGATGTTATGAAAACCACGGCCGCCGACTTTTTTCTTTTTGGACTGGCCGGCCACTCATGGTGGTGAACTAGAACGCCACCCTTGAGGATGCCATCCAACCTGCTCGACGGCGCCTCCTCCTCTTCCGACTCGGAGGAGGATGTCTCGCCCCCGCCTCGCCACTCTTTGCAGCACACTTTGCCCACCAATCACTCCAATCAGCCTGGCGGGCCTCCGCCGCCGCCGCTGCGCCCGGCGGGCGCAGCGGCGTCACTACCGCTGCGAGTGCCGCCTCTCGCGAACATCGTCATCATGCCGGTTCGGCGTTATACGGCGACCGCCGACGGCGCCCGCTTCCTCGAGGGCGAGGGCGTTCTGCACCTCACGGGTGGTGTGCTGCGGCACGTCTGCTGCCCGTCCTCGTCGTACGACTCCACGCCGCGCCTCGGCCGCCTGCGCCAGGCGAGCGGCAAGGCAGAGAGCCCTCGCGAAGACGCCCCAGCGCCCCCCCCCCGCACCCTGCCGCGCGCGCGCGCAGTGCCCCTGCCGCGCCACCACAAGCGCCGGCGCCCGCGCACCTCCTTGCCGCAGCGGGTGATCATACACGTACATGCATGTGCCCTCCCCCCAGACTCCGGACGCCACGCACCTCGACCTGCCGCCTCCTCGTCCGTCGCAGGTGAAGCGTGAGCTCGAGGAGCTGCTCGCGGGACGCGCCGCGGGCGCGGGGGACGGCGTCAGCTGCAACAACAACGGGAGCGACTGCTGCGACCCCGGAGACGGCGTCGGTGAGTGCAGCGCTTGCGGCGTCGGCTGCGCGGTCGCGGGTGGGGGCGCGGGCGGAGGCGCCGGCGGAGGCGCCGGCGGGGGCGCGGGCGGCGCGAGCAGCGGCGCGCTCGGCGGCGGCGGAGCCGACGCGGACGAGATGCCCGAGGTGTGGACGGTCGACGTGGGCGCGGGCGGCGTCTCGATTTGGCTTGTCCGCGCGCCCGACGAGCTTGCGTTTCGGCGCGCGCCGCCGTCGACCGAGCCGACGACGCTGCTCGTGCTCCCGGCGTCGACCGATTGCGAGCGCGACGCGGCGGCGCGCCTCGCCGCCACGCTCGGCGTCTGGTCGGACTCGGCTTCGCTCGAAGAAGACGCGCCGCGGCTGGCGCTTCTCGCGGCGACCGCGATCCTGCACTCGGGCGCGCTGACCGCGCGAGGCTTGCGAGGGCGCGCGACCCCCCCCATCGGCTCCTTTTGCGACCATCGGCCAGATTACGGACGATTGGCGGGCCGTTCCTCTCGCGTGCCGCGCCACGGCCCGCTCCCGCTCCCGGTATCAGCCATGAAGACGGATACCTCCGACCCGGCAAAGCTGCAGGCCAGAATTAAGGAGTTGGAAGCCCAAGTGAAGGAGCTCGAGAAGGGCCGCATGAGCTTCGAGCCAGGCATGCTCGCTCTCTCGCGCATGTCAACCTACGATGCACGCATGTGCGCGCTGCATGCGCACACACACACATACAATGCAGATCGCAGCGCGCGCTCAATGGACCCGCTTGCCCATCACCTGTTCCCTCGTTCGCCTCCAGTCGGCTCCTCCCGCAGCACCAGCACCGAGACTGCATCACCGCCAAATTGCCTGGTCCGCAGGTCACAGCGGAAGAGCGCTGTCGATGGCGTCCCACATGTGGCCCTACGTCCACCAACGCCGCCTGTATGTCCCTGATCACCACGATGGTCGGCTCGGGCGTGCTCGGCTTCCCGGCCCTCTTTGCCAAGGGGGGCTGGTGTATCACGGGCCC